GTAGAGCCTTCAACTAACAATACATAAATATACTTACAAAACAATATTACCAATATAACAAAATAAAAAATAAAGTAATTTTTCATTTACAGAAAAGGACTAAAAAGCCAAAGTGCAAAATACTACAAAGTTCGTAGCGCCGCATCCGTAGCAACTGCTACATTACCGTATGGAGCACTCAAATAACATTCTTGAAGCCGTAAACGCGCTTTGAAATCTAGTTGAAAACATTGCGTCCCAGTATTTTTAGGGCAGTAAGTATCTATGTACTTTACTGTACAATTATCTAGCCACATATTACATATCCTTAGACATTTTACATTGCGCCTATAGTTAGTCCAAAAAACTGTCCAAGGATATTTGCATGTCTCTAGATAGCAGGGTCTACATGTTTCTACTATGGCGTCTTGCTAAAATACACATAGGTGTTTGAATATAATAAATTAATCAATTAAGGTTTGTAGCTTAGCTTAGGTCGGGTTCGTCAAACAAACATTTTACCCTTGCGGAATTAACATTTTCCGCGTTGAAGCCGGGGCACGAACCGCGTAAAGGAACAAGAGAGATTTTTTGTTAAAAATTGCGAAGCAGCTAGTTACACATTTGTTCAAAGCAATGCTACTCGTACCATGATCATAAGAGCGACAGCGAAACGACCTTATTAATATTGCACAACTTTATTCTGAAAAGCGAATCCAACCGTGGAAATACACTTTCAGTAAAGCGACTTTACGAATTACGCCTTTGTAGTCTTGAGCATTCCTTTTGTTTTTCAAGTTACGTACTTAAAACTTGGGGACGCTCAATTAGGTTTTTATACGCCGTCAGATGTTTAGTACTGTGTATTGAAAACTTCCAAAATACTCGGAACTATAGTAACTCTTCTAACTTCTAAAATTATTCCGTGTGCACACAGTTCTTTTACCTGCGAATAAAACTGTAAGCTATTTCAACTGTAATAAATAAATCCTAGCAATCTTCGAATACACGACTCTATAGTCTGTTTACGTGATGATATATTAATGTTCCCCATAAGATTTAGGCAGGTACACCTGTTTTAAATGGATTAGACACATTTAAAAGATGAAGTACCAACATAGTTCTGCGACGTAAAACATTACCTAGTTGAAAATAAACGGTTTTTTACCAAAAAAATAATGGTAGCCTTTATGAAAGCAAGCAGGTAAGTGCCTACTAACCCAGATGGCTAATTAAAATAATTTGATCTTATATTATTTTTTTATACATTTAGACGTAATTTATGCACGCGTATTGCGTTAAAACGTCATCAAAACTATTTTTAGAAAGATCACTGAAAGTTAATAATATGAATTTAGGTCAAAGCCCTCGTAAATAAGACGTTAATGCAATTGTCAAAATATAACTAGAAATTAAAATATGAGTGAAATTTTCCACGAAATGAATCTCATTTCAACTTTATAATTGTTGTAACGTCGTAACCAACCCAGAAAGGTACAAAAGTTAAAACATACATTATAATTTTTATAATAATTAACAAACTTTGCAATACAATACTAAGATTAATTGGTTAAGGTTAAACTGTCTTTATATTTCTTATGATAAGGTGTATCATTATGGTCCTGATCTTAAATACTGTTTTATCCCTTGTTTGGTTTAAATTTCATGGAGATTTTGTCGCGCGAAGCGTAGCTATCTGCTCTTCCAATTTGTTTTCAGTGATTTCATTACGAATTCGATGTTTATTCGTGCGTATTTATAGTTTAAAGTCGTCGAACATAATTACTTAAGTAAACTAAGAACCCCAAAACTGCGATGGGACTAAACCACAAACAAATTATTTTCCAACTGACCTTTCGATTCGAAATTCCAATCATGGCTGATGCGAATCACTAATGGCTATGTCCTATGGCCTCACTTTCCAACGCTAAATAACTTTGGATTTGTTTGCCGCACCAATAATGGAGTCAGTTAACGGTAGGTTTAATGGCAAATCGATGGTTATGACGTCTTTGGACTATTAACTACTACTACCCACATGAAACCATGTATGCAGGAAGAGTGCGAAAACATGTTAAAGTTGACAACACGTATAGAAAGAAAGACTGCTTTAGGTATAAAATAAAAACCATTAAAATATTATACACGCTTTGTGTGTAACAAATCAACAAGTCCTCGATATATTTTGTGGGAATCGTCGAACTCTATTTTGGACGTTATCCTGGACGAGTATTTTTCGGGAGTAGCATTTTTTAATTTTGTGTCGTATTTTAAATCACACAAATCATACAGATTTCAGCTGAATCTGAATCTTCTTTTCGGCTGAATTAGCCGAAAGTTTAATCTAAGGTAATATTTTATCGCCCGACTCTATGAAGAAATTCTTCTTCTTTGGCTTGACACTGATGCGTATGTATCATATTCTTGCACACTGAGATAACTGTGATTTAAAATACCAGGACAGTTGCACGCGTAAGTGCCTGCTAAATTGCATGCATGTTTCTACTGTTCAATCTCTAGCATCCTCATAGAGTTACTCAGTTACTCAGGATGTCTGAGTAACACATCTCAGCATGGTGAGCATCCGACATCCGTGGATGAATAATCTTTTTAAATTGCACGTTTAGATAGGTAGGTTTCTTTAATGAACTATTTTATACTACAGGTATTTTATTTACTCGTACTAACTTAATGAATAATATAATTAAGTATTCAATTACCAACCCAAAGTAAGTTATCACCTACCTACTTACTTTGCAAAAAGTATGAGTGTGTATTATAATATGCAAAATCTTTTTGGATTTGAATTGCTAATGTTTTTTCACCTTAAGTTTATTATTTTTTCATATTGTGAGCCTACGATTTATCAAACGCCATTTAAAAGTGTGAAGGCCACGAAAGCCTTACACGAGTTGCGGTTACTTAGCCTTAGTATAGGTTAATACTTCTCTACGAATCGCCTATTAAGTTTTTAATTTAACTAGAATTTATGTGTGACTTGTTACTTCTAATTTTCTATTTGGTGATAATATTTAATTTTACATTAATTAATACATAGTACTATTACTAAATAAGTAATAGCCCTAAATGAGTAAGTTGACTTATAAAATAAATATAACTAATTACAAATATTATCAAAAATCGATTTTCTTTGACCCTTTGAATTGAAGTTATAACTATACGTACCTACCTACTCGTATTTTGCAGCAGGCACTAAGTAATTTAGTTAATCGCTTTTTTATTATCTCCTGAAACAAACTAGGTGCATCGATAATAGCTACTTGCGGTCATTTAAGGAACTGATGCCCTGTGGGCTATTGTATTCAAATCATCATTGACGAATAGTAATAAAACTAAGTAGGTATTGACCTCAGCGGAAAGATAACTGCCAAATAGAACGATATATTGAGCGTGTCTTTAATTATATCAATAAATTAAACATCGTAAAAATAAACCAAAATAACTCTCTGATAAATGATATATTAACTTACCAATTGCCGTTTTAGTGCGGACATTCCTTGAGTAGCACATTGGGTGAAGAATGGCCCAGTAGCGGTCCACCGAAACTGCGACCAGGCAGAAAATGCTGATGGTACACAGCATCACCAGCAACGAGACGGTGAACAAACACGCGTACAGGTTCCTCGGCAGGCCCACTGAGGCCAGGATAGCGAACGGTATCCCCAGTAGACCGACGAGGAAGTCGGCAGTTGCCAAAGACACTATATAGTAGTTCGTGCGACGTCGCAACCGCCGGTCGCGTCTGAACACATAGATCACCATAGCATTCCCTACCACTGCCACTAACGCCACTAAAATCTCCAGGGTCGTATACGCCGCGTGGAGCTCAGGAGTGGGAGTCCTATGAGGAGCTGGTGCCAACGTGGACACCTCTGCAGTCGTCGTGTCTTCAGCCATAGCTCGACACACATTTACCCCATATTTTATTACGTATCAAACTTTTTGAAGTTTAAAATCTTTGATTTTTTGTTCGCTCACAATCACAGTTGAGTTTTAGAAATGCCATTTTAGGATGAAGATTAAATTAGTTATTATTTAGTTTGTCGAGTTCGTGTTCGGTCACTGATCGGAGAGGACAGATCGCAGCAGTGTCCCACCCGCGACGCGCGCTTCCCGCCACTGCGGCCGATTGGCGCGAAACGGCGAGCGCCGGGACGCCCTACGCCGACGCACCACTTGTTGCGGCCAAGTGACACCTTACCCTTGAAAAGGAGTCCGTAACGTGATGCCGGTAACTAGTAAATAGAGGCAGATAGTTATCGCTGGTAACTAACGAACGTCCGACGCGTAGATGATAAAATAGAACACTTGTAAGCAATACTCTCGCACTGGAAGTCCAGGGATCGAGTGTCATTCATTATTTTTGTGTATCATTAAGAAAAAGTTGTGGAAGTTGCATTCCAATTTATTAGGGCTTGCTGACAACTGATTGCCAAGTTGGTTCTATTACCTATTCGGACACATAATTTGGTCTACTCAGAAAGAAAGAGTCTCGATTATCATCAGTAAGATCAGAGACTTGAAGAGGGGTTATCGCTTATCAATAAAACAATTAATAATTTCCACACAAAATAAATGCGTTTATTTTTATTATAGGTATTATGTAGTTCTACAAGAATACTTATTTTAAAAATCTATTAATTTAAAAGTTAATATTCATTAATACAACAATAACTTTCTGTTATTAAACATCAAGTAATATTTGAACAGAGCCACTTGTAAAAACTGAAGTAGCCAATAACTGAAATAGTTTAAATAATAATAAATTGCAAGAAGTGTTTACATTCTTCTAAAGATTTCAGCAACCAACCATTTACATTTCATATTGACGTCAGGGAATTCCTTGTCAGTCTAGTTCAAGGTTTTAGTGATATGTGTGGAGCAAAACGTATAAAATGCACCCTGTTTAATGGCATGATGGTTTATTAACAAAATATGTCAAGACATTAATTAGGTACTACATGTAAAGATGAATGATAGATAGGTACTTAACTAACATCTATTCTAAAAGATATAATATAAATAAATCCAATGAGAGTTTCCTTAATTTTGTTCAGAATTTGGCTCCACTGGCGACTAAGGTCCTATCACTAAGTGGCGCCAACGCAATTATGGAAGCCCTCATTCCATTCCCTCATAGCATTACAATATAATCAAATTTAAAATCTAACGGCCGCCCGCGACTTCGTACGCGTGGATCCCGTTTTACCCCCTTAGGGCTGGAGTTTCGTAAAATCCTTTCTTAGCAGATGCTTACGTCAAAAGAAATTATGCCTTGCCAAATTTCAGCCTGATCCGTCCAGTGGTTTGGGCTGTGTGTTGATAGATCACTATGTCAGTCGATCAGTCAGTCAGTCACCTTTGAGTTATATATTTAGATGTATTATATACACAGTCCCATTAAAAGTCCGTAAACAGAAAACAACTTAATTAATTTGAAATTTTTGTAGACAATAAATTACAAATGACGTGAGGACAGTTTCTGCACAAAATCTTCCTATTTTAACATTCGCAAAAGCATGCAAAAGAAAATCAATACATTGTTTTTGCTAGCAATGGTGGAGGCTATGTAGCGACTACGACGATGTTGCGACCACGATTGTGTTTTTACAGGTGTTTTTTTTGTTTTTCAGGAAAAGAGGCCAATCATGACTACACAAAACAAATAGCAATTCAAGAATTTGTCCATAACTTTTGGCTACTAGTAAGCATTTCATATCCATTAAATGTTTTATATCAAATACAGTTACAATATATCCATCATTGTCCAATAGAAATACTCTTATTCATATAAAATGTTTATAAGATGACTGTACTGAAAGGTATAAAAATCATTCATACCTTTATATTCATATTAATATTATGTTATAATCTAGCTTGGATCTGAATGAAGCCTGTCTACTAAATGAAGTGGGATTCCTAGATTCAACAATGTTGGTCTATCTAGTTCATGTAAATTTGGATGCAAGCTAAGCATAGCTTCCCAGCATATCTCGCTTAGCTTTGGTATGCATACCCACACTTTATACATAGTATTATTCCTATCCACTATATCGTCGTTCGGCTCTATACCTCCAAACATATACATACAACCGTATGAAGTGACGGATGATCCATGAAAATATAATGGACGAGGCAAAATAGTCTTCTGCATTAAATGCCATTGCAGTTTATTGACATCTAACATCCAAACATCATCAAATACTAACTGACCATCTGAACCACCTGCCACAATCACCTGCACCCCATCTGGTGTATCGAATTGGACTGCACTGTGGCATTTTCTTGGCGAAGGAGCCAGTGGAAAATCCGTTCTGTAATCTGGCCTTGGGAATAGTAACTTCCATGTCTTAGATTTAAGGTCATACATAGGCATCTCCATGAGCTCAAACGCCCACTCTCCTGTGCCTCCACCGATAATATAAAATTTATTGTCAACCGTAGCTACTTCATGCCTGTAACGTCCGGGAGGCTCTCCTTCCTGACCAGTGCCTACGTAGACTTGCTCCCATGTCTGTGACCGAAGATCAAGTCTGTAACAATAAGTGATGATATTAATTTACAGCACCAAAAAATAATAATTAAGAAGTTCATTTATATTTTTGCTAAACCTTTTAAAATAAACCAAATTAATTCGTTCATTCGTTTCAGCCGAAAGAAGTCCACTGCTGGACAAAGGCTTTCCCCAAGGATTTCCACAAAGACTGGTCCTGCGCCGCTCGCATCCAGGCACCTCCTGCGACCTTCACCAGATCGTCGGTCCAGCTAGTGGGAGGCCTGCCCACGCTACGTCTTCCGGCTCGTGGTCGCCACTTAAGAACTTTCCTGCCCCAGCGGCCATCAGCTCTTGCCACTTGATTATAGCGATTCTGAAGGCTATGTCAGTCACTCGGGTTCTCCTACGGATCTCCTCATTTCTGATTCGATCACGCAGGGAAACTCTGAGCATAGCACGCTCCAAATTAATTAATAAGTATCATTACTTACCTAAAAATATCACAGTTATAGGCAAAGCCATTAGTCCCTCCAATGGTATAGAAATACCCATCATGACAGAACACAGACTGTCCATATAATCCAGGAGGTTTAGTCCCTGATACTTCCATAATCTGAAGTTTTTTTTCACCAGAGTATGCACGCCACAGAAATACATCATTGCTGCATTTATTGCCGAAGGGAGCACCAGTTCCGCCAAATATCTACAAAATGAAAGAGTGTAACAATTGTAACATATGGAAATTAATGTGGATAATAAATAAAACTACATAATTAACAAAATGTCACCAACCATAAGATATCTGCCATACATGCACATAGCATTTGATGCTAGTTCGTCGGGCATATTTTCTATGACCTTGTGCCGCTTCCATTTCTTTCTAGCGATAGAAAAACTCCATAGCTCTTTGAAGAGTGGTCGCGCCGGGGTCCATGTTGCATTGTTTCTTTCAAATCTCGGTAAAGGTAATGAAGGGTTATAGCCTCCAAAGCAGTATATATTAGCATCATCACAAGCGATCCTATGACCACTTCTGGGTCTGGGACACCGATTATCTCGATCTCGATACTCTACTACGGTAACCTTAAAAGGCTCAAAAATATAATCTTTTCGTGGCAAAGACATTCTTGAACTTCACAATTCCTAAATTAAATTTGTAAACAAACGTTGTTTAATGAGTATCAATACTAAGTTTTACAATTTAGATCATAAAAATGAATTAGGTATCCCACATTTTGCTAGCGCTAAAAATCCTTGTAAAAAATTATTGATTTATTTGACAACACTCAGCTGTTTGACAGTTTACTTTTTTTTTGTTGGTTGGTAGGAAAAGGCATAATGCCATACAACCAAGTCTTATTTTTTTTTATTTTAGTAAATAAAAATCTTAGAGAATTAACCATTAATCCTCTGTGCTAAACATTAACCCCCTTTAATATGGGCATTTAAATGGTAGGTATGGTCTTATATTAATAAAGCGGTATGGTGAAGTCAGTTTGATATCACCATTTTTTTTTTTCATACAAAATAAATTTTATAATATCCGATTTGTATGAAAATTAAAATAAAAATAAAGATATCAATTTTCTGACTTCACCATACCATTTATAAATGCCCATGTTAACGTGGGCTAGTGTACCCATATACCCATTTACCTAACATCCTGTATAATTCATCACTCCAAAACAAAATACTGCTTTTTATCACAGCTTTTTATGAACTTTCAAGGAAAACTAGTTAGTTTAAGAGTAATATCCGTTTTACTTATGTATTTAAAATTTAAAATTAATAAAAATTCCTTGAAAATATTATAAGTGACTTTAGATGAAATAATTGCTTGCTTCTGAAATATATTGTGGTAACGACGAAGGACCACTACGGAACCCTAGACTGCGCGTGGCACGCACGACACGCATTTGGCCGGTTTTTATTTTATTATTCGGCATGTGACGATGCACAGCATCTGGTGAGAGAGATGCGTCTACTTCCGGTGTAGTTTTTTTTTTCATTTTATACCTTAAATGACGTCATTTCCGCAATTATTTAATAGGAATTGATTTGACTTACTTCCGTTTGCCGCCATTTTAGTCACCTGGGGGCGAGCTTGCTCGGAGTTCTTCATAGCGTCTTTAACTTCCAAACTAGCAACATCGTAAGCAGAAACTCTGCTCAGATTTTTACTGAAATAATTTATTTCTCAACGTTCTTATACTAAGTTTAAAATTAAAAAGTGCAATTGACTGCGCGTGTGTGACCGCGAACGACATGTACGTGATGGTGGTTGGCGCCAAAGGGGACGAGTGTCTTCCGGACAACGAGCAGGTGGACCCAGAGCGTCGGATGCCGGAGAAACTCGGACCCCGGCGAGATTCAAAACGGATGAAACGAGGTACGTGGGATTCTGATAGCTTTAACACTCTTTTCGATCAAATGAGCATTCTCGCGAATCTCTATATTGTATAAATAGATTTATTTTGCGCATTACACATGCATCTCGCGTTTATGTTAAGGAAATACAAAAATAAAAACAACTTAGAAATAGAGCTTTAATAAGTAATATTAATATTTTATAATATTCAAGAATAACCAGGCACTTCTACTAATATTCTTACCTAAGTAGGTAACTATGTCACATATCTATGTAATATTTTTAACATTCTTGCACTTAGTAATATGTAATTACTAATATAAATAAACTTAATAATAAGTTAATAATAATACGCTAATTCATTTTCTTATGCCCGCTAGATCAAATAAACCCAATCCAAATCCGTCCAGCTGACCCACAAAATTTTGATGAACATCGAAAATCTTGAGATTGAGACAGTTGAAGGACGGATTTGCATTGTGATTGATTTATATAGTAACCGGGCCTATAGAAAGCAGGCGTTACAGAAAACATATACACTCGCGAGCAAAAGTATGGAATCACTTACATGAAGTTGTTTCCACGCGATCTTGTTTACTAACGAATTTGTTAGTAACTAAAAAAGTAGCACCATTTTAAAGATTAAACTTTTAACTTTAAATTGATACCAAATTCATTTAAATCACACCAGTATTTAAAAATATATCCCGGCTGATGTAAAGAAGTAAGGAAAAAGACATGTATCAACTGTTTGATACGTCGCGAGTTGCGGCCTATTTACCCCCTATAAAAGCAAGTGTTTTCGGATTTTTGCTTTCACACGTTGATCCATACACATCTCCGCTTATTTTGACACTTTACCTGGGATTCTACACCTTCAGAAGCAGCACAAATCGTTGCACTATTGCAAGAAGGGCTCAGCCAGAGGGCTGTCGCACGTCAGCTCCACATAAGCCAGTCCTGGGTTTCGAAAGTTTTAAGACGCTTTTGGGAGACTAGTGGCTTTATCCCGAGACCAAGTTCTGAACATTGCCGGTGCACATCGCAGAGGGAAAACCGTTTTTTCATGTCAACTTCTCTACGAAATCGTCATTTGACTGGTATCGACGTCCAGCAAGAGCTCAGAAATGTTCGTAGGATAGCTGTTAGCGAGTGGACAGTTCGTCTAAGATATGAGCAATAAAATTTGACTCCAAAAAGGCCTGCCACAGGCTGGAAACTGACGGCAGGTCGCCGACAAGCACGCTTTCAATTAGCTCGCACTCGGAAGGCGAGTAATGGAGGCGAGTTTTGTTCTCCGATGAATGCAGACTGTTTTTGCAGTGCAGCAGTCGAAGAGGTCGGGTCTATAGACGGCCTGGGGAGCGATTTGTGCAGTCCTGCTTCGCTAAAACATTGGCTTATGGGGGTGGCTTGCTCGACTTCCCATCGAGATGTGTAGGAGCAAATTGAAAGCGTGCTTATCGCTGACCTGCCGTCAGTTTCAAGCCTGTGGTAGGCCTTTTTGGAGTCAAATTCTATTGTTTATATCTTAGACGAACTGTCCACTTGCTAACAGCTATCCTACGAACATTTCTGAGCTCTTGCTGGACGTCGATACCAGTCAAATGACGATTTCGTAGAGAAGTTGACATGAAAAAACGATTTTCCCTCTGCGATGTGCACCGGCAATGTTCAGAACTTGGTCTCGGGATAAAGCCACCAGTCTCCCGAAAGCGTCTTAAAACTTTCGAAACCCAGGACTGGCTTATGTGGAGCTGACGTGCGACAGCCCTCTGGCTGAGCCCTTCTTGCAATAATGCAACGATTTGTGCTGCTTCTGAAGGTGTAGAATCCCAGGTAAAGTGTCAAAATAAGCGGAGATTTGTATGGATCAACGTGTGAAAGCAAAAATCCGAAAACACTTGCTTTTATGGGGGGTAAATAGGCCGCAACTCGCGACGTATCAAACAGTTGATACATGTCTTTTTCCTTACTTCTTTACATCAGCCGGGATATCTTTTTAATCACTGGTGTGATTTAAATTAATTTGGTATCAATTTAAAGTTAAAAGTTTAATCTTTAAAATGGTGCTACTTTTTTTGTTATTAACAAATTGGTTTGTACACAAGATCGCGTGGAAACAACTTCATGTAAGTGATTCCATACTTTTGCTCGCAAGTGTATTTTGTTATTACAATTAATTCAAAGGACTATCTTAAATAAATAAAATAAAGAAAAAATTAAAATTCAAAGTCGTCGCTGCTGGGTGTAGTGACTCGAACATGCATCTCCGTTCCAGTCTGCGAAGGATTCGTTAGTTCATGAGCCATTTCATTCTCTGGCAGGTATGTTTTGGAAGTGTCTGGAAAAATATAATTATGTAGGTAAGTACATGTAGGTTCTATTCAATAGGGTTTAAAATATCTACAAAGCAATTTGTAATTCTAATTAATTTCTTACCATCATCAAGCGTCGTTGTATCAGTATCAGGAACTGTCGTACTACCAACTTGAACAGTCAAAGAGTTGGGTTGCTTGAAAATCGAGTGACTTTGATCTGCAGAATTCACAGTTTCATCTACTTGTACTGGAGAATTCTGATTTGTTTCGTTGGTAGCGTCAATGCAAATATGTGCTGCTTTCACTAAGCCGTTATTAAGTTTCCTTCTTTTAGGCGTGCCTACTAATATAACATTCGGGTTTTTCATCGCCCGTTTTTTGGCCTTAGAATTCTCACTTCTATCAGACTTAGAGCTATCGTCCGAGTCACTGGCGCTTTCATCAGATAAATCAATGTTCAGTATTCTTTTGATTTTATTCTTGAACCTCATCAGCTCTTGTTGACTAATTTCTTTCGGTTCACCGATTGTTCCTTTGTACCTATTCAAAAAACTGTATTTGGCCAGGCGCTCGGCTAGCGGTAACATATTGGCATCATCTGCTTGTTGATAAGCAGCATCTAAGCGCTTTTTATATTTTGTGTCCCTGGCGGCAATTCTTGTAGCCTTTTTGTTGGCATTGTACGGTTTCAAATTTTTAGGAGCTATCCATGCTCTTGTGGCATCGTAGGAATCGAAGAAAACGACATTGTAGTAAGTCTGGAAAAGATTAAAAAATAGTGATGACACGGCCTAGGTCTACTTTAGGGTAAGAAGTGAGAAACTGACGAAATTGTACCGGAATATCAGAAAACCCATCAAGCCAATAAAATTGTTCCGTGTCCGCGCAGTCTTCGACCATAGCCGGCCACCACGGCCAGCCCGCAAGCCGAGCCAGTACTATGGACCCAGCTGAATATTCGCTGTGAATCAAATCTTCTTCGCCGCGCAGGCAAATTGGCTCCTCAGGGACTGAACAGTCGGCTGCGGAACGATCTGAAAAATATTACTTAGTTACCAGTTAATTTACAAAAACCAAACATAATCTGGAGTTCTGTATTCCATTTATATTGAGTTTGTTGTAATTATTTTTAGCCCAGACAGAATATAGAATTAATTATGTTTAAAATCTTTATTAGACCTATGACCATGTAGGTATGTATCATCCATTTATGGTAATTGAGTGTCTGGCCACTGCGATACAAGCATTTGCTTCGCTTAGTGCAGAGACCGCTATTTATTAAAATTATACATTATTTGTGTCATTTTTTGGAAATAAATACATTTTTACTTTAATTTAGCTTGCTGTCAGTATTTAGTTATTTTAATTTCTAACTCAATTTGTGCAGTTCCACTAAGTAAACATTATTGTTTTTAATTTTAACCTACGCTGCTCTCACAATAGGTAAGTATCAAAGCATTCCATCCTTTATGGCTGGGGCCTTTGTTGCTTACAAAAAAAATCCCTATCAATATTCTCAAAGCATTCTTTGAAGATTAAATATAAATATTAATTGTATCATTATGATAAATTGGTAGTGTTTAGCTTGGTATACTTATACCATAGAAAAAACAAATCTTATATTGTCTGTATGTATTGTGTACCTGGGTTCATCCTGCAGTACCACTTCTTGGGCAGTTCCGTGCTGTCTAGCACATGCGGCAGATACCGCCAGCGGTCGCAGTCGTCGCACTGCACCCAGAGGCCGGTCTTGTGCCGCTTCTGAAGCCACAGGAGTCGCTGTTTCTGCGTCATCCCCGGGCCTGGCTGGCTTAGAGCATCTTTGTAGGAACTGCATACCGTGTGTGAAGGGAACAATATTAGATTACTTACCTATCTTCTTTACATTTTATCAAGACGAGACGCTCACGCTATCTATGCCCTTAGATCTTTTAAACTACGCCACGGATTTTAATGCAGTTTTCAGCAACAGGATTGATTCAAGAGGAAGGTTTATCATAGCACCCGTGCGAAACCGGGGTAAATACCCAACATAGAAATAGGTTCATTGGGTGAATATTAACTTATATTCGATTGTTGATTGAAATAAGTACAAAAAACTTCTTACCTTTTTTTACTACATTGGGAAGACGAAACCTCCGAAATTTGTGTTTCAGTCGGTCTGTTGTTTTCCAACGGAGGTGACATTGTTATTATATTCTTAAATTAGATAATAATGTATGAGAACTGAATATAATCTACTCTAACTAGTGTCGCCTTGCCATATTGAATATTTTGAAATGCAGGTAGATGAAGAAAAATATCAGTACCATAGCACACCATAATAGCTGTTTTTTTAATTACAATCTTTACAAGAATTTAAAAGTGCCCGTAATTTAAAAATACAAAAGGTACATACTATATTTTTATGGCTAGCTAAAAAATGGTTTATCTTTTATGTATTTGATTATTTTTAATTATCTCTTTATTACCTTAGGTTGCCGAGCTCCTTCTTTGGGTTCTTTAGCAGATTTTTCAGTTGGTAAATCGCCTAACAGATCCATACTTCAAAATTAAAGTGAAAGGAAATTCAGAAAAAAAGGCGCCACAACACGAACCGAAAAAAATCTATGAAAGAAAAAAGGGTAGAGTCAAAATAAATTTTCGACATTTCCCGCCAATTTCAGGTAGATACTTCAATATGTCAATGAATTCAGAAATACATATCCTTTATTATTTATCTACAAAATCATCCCGTAACTTATGAATTATTATTATGACAAAATTAATATAAGTAATCGAATTTAATTTACTTTAAAAATCTAGTAATAGTAAATTTAGAGCCATTAATTAGTTTTTACTTGCCACATTTATTGCAGATACATACGAAAATACCTTCAAATTCAAAATATTAGTCATGTCAATTACTTAAAAAAGAACACCTATCATTTTAGACAAATTAGTAAGGAAAGTGATAAAGCAACTAGTAAATAAAATAAAACAAGATTTATTTGTTTAACTAAATAACCAGTTGAAAAGTAAATTTATATTAAAAATAATATTAACGGAAGTGCGCATCTAAATTCATCAGGCTGGCTGCCGGCTGGTCGCCATATTTGTGGCGAGCGAGTTTTGGGTTTTCTACAAAGAAATTCGTCGGTGGCGACGAAAGGGAGTAAATTATACTCCCTTTTCTGTGTTAAAGTGATATCTACCTTTATTACCCGTGGGTATAGCTTTATATCAAAGGAAAATATATTTTTTCTTTGTTTCGTATTATAAACATGGCTTTCTAAAATGTCGGTCTTGCACGTAATATCGTTATCTCCTTGCGGAGTATCCCGCTCAGCTATTGTTGTGGATGTTGGAGGAATCCAAAATGGACAAGAAATCTTCGAACCGATCTTCTCAACCACAGTCGAGGGCTTCAGCCATCGACTGTAAAAAAAACACAGGTGAGTGAATAAAGGTCACATCACTCACCTCTCAAAATCATTTGCGTGACTTGTTGCTATTCATGAAGTTATGTTAATCCCAAAATTATCTTCCTAGCCTATTAGTATTAGCCCTAAATTATGAAGTTCCCAAATAATTGGCAATTTTTGCATGAGTAACCTTGAAATTTGAAAGAATATTTTGTAAACACCTGATGCAATTTTGCGAGACACACTTAAGAATATCCAGTAGTGGTACACATAATCAAACATTGAGTGCCCAACTCACCATTTATTATAATTTCTCCAGATTTGACGCATAAACCTTGGCCTCGGAATAACAAGAAACGTGAAGGACCTGCAGGTGCTCCCAAAAATGAACCATATCGCAAGAATGTTCCAGCACAGCGTGGAAGGGGTGCAGTTGACCGGAGACCACGTACTCGTCCCACTGGTTTCAATGTGGGTGGAGCGCAGAACACCGGGTAAGTTGTATATTGTATTTATTGCGTTTGATGGTCCTTTTAACCAGAGAAGAATAATAAGTACTACTTACAGAAGTTTTACTTCACGAAGGTATTTAAAAAAATGTATGCTCAATGTCATTAACAATATGGTGTAATTTAGCTTGTCTCAAGAGTCAAGCAACATTTTGTTGACAAACGTCAGTGATCGGTACTGCGCCGAAGCTATAGGGCTTCGGTAAAATGATGTGACGTGAGGTGCCAAACTGCAGAAAATGGCGGAGGAAATACATGATTTAGCATGAATTATCATGAATAATATTGACTACTTATTTACCTCTCAGTGTCTTCAGGCAACTTAAAAATGTACATTCTGTGTTTTTATTATTATTTAGGCAGTTAAATACTGCACAGTATTTAGTACACCATTTTCTTCTTTTTTTTCCATCATACAATAGGCGTGCGTGAGTCAATGCTCGCTCATATGTGAGGCCTTGTCGAATAGTAACCCTGTAGGGGGCCATCGTGCGTGTTTTGTTTTCGATGTAAACTCGCGGAGATGAACAGGCCTGTTTTAACTTATAATAAGAATATTTTTTTTTATGTTTATAAAGATTACACATTTTAGTCTACAAAGCCTGTGATATATTAATTAACAGGTTAGAAGATGATCAAGAGCCGGAAATCGGCTCGGTTTTTGTGCCTGGAAGCAAGAAGCAAAATTTGAATCATTTGCTGAACTTCACGTACCCAACCCGCCGAGAAGCCGAGCACAGGGGACCACAGACTCAAGGCCGCCGCCCTCAACAGCAGCGCGAAAGAGTTGTGATACGTCACGAACATGATCTCTACTTACGAGCTTAGTGAGTAATTGGTATTATTTTCTATTTTTATGACGATTTATTATTTTTAATACTAATCATTACAAATTAGATCAACAAAAAACTATTTTTGAAGTAACACACAAAAATGGCTTTCATGAGTCAATAATAAACAAAAACATAGGTGACAAATCTGAAAAGAACTCTGTATTCATTACCCAACTGCACCAAGAGGGTTATTTACCTTTGCTAACTAATTTTATATGTCTATTTCAGTTGTCAATTTGTGATGAAGAAGGGTTGGGATTATAACGTGAATTTGTTAGATCCTGACATACCTGTGAAGTGGGAGCAAATTGAGGAAATTGTAAGTAAATTAATTATACATTCTGTCTGATTAACATTAAACCTATTGAATGCCAATGGTTCTTTCAAAGTAACCCTGTTGTTTTATGCAAGAAAATTGCTTATTTGGTGTCTATGATGTCATCACATGACAATGACCATAACTGGGCTACCAACTTTTTGTTGGTTCAGGTGTAAGTCAAAATGAACCATAATCATCATACAATAAACATGTTTAACAGAAATGTCTCAGTGGTCAGGAGGCACCTATTATGTTATAATATCTATGTCTTTTTTAAATCAAAATAAAAGAAGTTTGTGACTACAGATAGTAAAAAAATTAAAAGGCACTGCCTTACTGTTTGAGCGTGCATGTGGCTGTTTTTACGCGATATACAGGGTGGCCAAAACAGTGAGGTCTAAAAGAAAAATTTAGATTCCTTACATCAAGGTGTACCTAAATCACCCCCATGTATATAATACGATTGTGCTTAGTTTAGGAGATAGAGTTAATTTTGTGATATTTTAAAATTTTATGACCTTGTAGGCTTTAAACATTTTTATCTTTTTTTTGGGTTGACTTTTTTCAGATTTCTTTTTTTCGACAGATTTGTTATTAATTGCAGATGTTTGAAAAAAATAATCAACTTCCTATCTTTGATTTAAGATACAAAAGTTTTGCTCGAAACATTAAAATTATGCTTTTATCAGAACACTATCAAATTTTCAACTTAAAAGTTTAAGTAAAAAAAAGAACTTCCATAGGTCCAAAACCATTTTAAAAACTGCGCCGATTCCTGAACATTCATAATAATACAAAAAAACATGTACTTAATGGGCCACTATTTCCTGTAATCGGTCCACTAAAGTGGTAAGTCGGAGATTCCGTTACATGTTTTTGACTTTCTTAGAGTTAATTAATATTGGGAATCCTCTAAGTTTACATTACGTAGAACAGATTTAGAGCAGTAACTGGACAGAAAATGTTTTTATTCTCAACGAGGAAGCTCTTGCCCTTCATCACACCTGGTGGAAACTGATGATTAGGCTGTAGGTGGAAGGGAACTGCAACTACAAAGGAACTATGGCTTCCTACCTCCAAATTCCGGAACACATTGTTATTTTAAGTAAGTCTTAATGAACATAAACCAAATATCCCTCCCTTTTTCTTCTCACTGTAATAGGTATTTCAAGGGTAATAGTAAAATGTAACAACTGCCTCTGTCTTCAAGTGGTAAGAGGTAAGCTTCAGAGGTCCCGGGTTTGATTCCCAGTGGCGGTGAAATTTTATGTTCGGTTTGGTTGGTGGTAGGGTTTGATCTAAGTCTGCCTGGCTAGCAAGTATTTTCCTAAGTCTATCACTATAACAATAATGTTAATAGCATTACTGTATTCCGGCATTTGGAGGTAGGAAGCCATAGTACCTCTGTAGTTGAAGTTCCCTTCCACCTTGAGCCTAATCATCAGTTTCTACCGGGTGTGATGAAGGGCAAGAGCTTCCTCGTTGAGAATAAAAACATGTTCTGTCCAGTTACTGCTCTAAATCTGTTCTACGTAATGTAAACTTAGAGGATTCCCAATATTAATTAACTCTAAGAAAGTCAAAAACATGTAACGGAATCTCCGACTTACCACTTTAGTGGACCGATTACAGGAAATAGTGGCCCATTAAGTACATGTTTTTTTGTATTATTATGAATGTTCAGGAATCGGCGCAGTTTTTAAAATGGTTTTGGACCTATGGAAGTTCTTTTTTTTACTTAAACTTTTAAGTAGAAAATTTGATAATGTTCTGATAAAAGCATAATTTTAATGTTTCTAGCAAAACTTTTGTATCTTAAATCAAAGATAGGAAGTTGATTATTTTTTTCAAACATCTGCAATTAATAACAAATCTGTCGAAAAAAAGAAATCTGAAAAAAGTGAACCCAAAAAAAAGATAAAAATGTTTAAAGCCTACAAGGTCATAAAATTTTAAAATATTACAAAATTAACTCTATCTCCTAAACTAAGCACAATCGTATTATATACATGGGGATGATTTAGGTACACCTTGATGTAAGGAATCTAAATTTTTCTTTTAGACCTCACTGTTTTGGCCACCCTGTATAAAAGAGAACCGTCAATTTCATTGTTATCACACTAACAATGTGAAGTAAAACATTTTTTTAATCACCAGGTAGTGAGAAGCACTGGCAAGTCGGAATGTCCAATCTGCCTCGGCGCGCCAGTGGCGGGGCGCGTGGGCCTTTGCGGCCACGTGTACTGCTGGGCATGCGTACTGCACTACGCGGCGGCCCACGAGAAGCAGCCGCCACCCTGTCCAGTGTGCGCCGCGCCCATGCACGTGACTGATATGAAGCCCACCCGCATGGTGCAGTGGGAGTCCCCGACTGAGGAAGTGACTTATAACCAGGGTCCTGTGAGGCCACGTGTACTACTGGGCATGCGTACTGCACTACACGTTGGGGTACGAAAGGCAGCCGCCACCCTGTCCAGTGTGCACCGCGCCCATGCACGTGGCTGACATGAAGCCCACCCGCATGGTGCAGTGGGAGTCCCCGACTGAGGAAGTGAGTTATAACCAGGGGCCTGTGAGGCCACGTATACTGCTGGGCATGCGTACTGCACTACACGTTGGGGCACGAAAGGCAGCCGCCACCCTGTCCAGTATGCGCCGCGCCCATGCACGTGACTTATATGAAGCCCACCCGCATGGTGCAGTGGGAGTCCCCGACTGAGGAAGTAACTCACTTCCTCAGTCGGGGATTCCCACTGCACCCAGTGGGAATCCCCGACTGAGGAAGTGAGTTATAACCAGGAGTCTGTGAGGCCACGTGTACTACCCGCATGGTGCAGTGGGAGTCCACGGTTGAGGAAGTGAGTCATAGTGCGGGGGTCTGTGAGGCCAAGGTCCGGTCACTAGGTACAGTAGCATCAGTTGGTGAGTGCCAAAACGGTAGGAAGACTATCGTAAGAAATGACACTTCTGCTGTAGCCAGGATTTGAAGTGTAAGTGCCTGGTACGAGATAAATCGATTAGATAACTTCAGAAAGAAAGAAAACACTTGTACTTTAATTATTAACCTTATTTACAGGTAACTATGCGTTTGGTGCGTCGTCTTAGAGGCACTACGACGGTTGAGATCGCCCCACCGCGTGGGCAGTTAGCTCAGAATCCACCAGAACCTGTGCAGCCTCTTGAAAATGTCAACAGTGCACCATATTCAAAGTTCTTCATGGCTAATAAACAACAGGTAACATTCCTACATCATGAAATCATAAGATTTAAAATAGTCCTAAGATTTTCATTTTAAACTATGGAAATTTCTATATCTAAACTTTGCTTTTTTGTGCAGGTGCAAGAAATATTGGCAAGAGAGCGCAAAGAAATCCAAGACCAGATTATGGCGGAAATTGATACAACTGAAATTGTATTCATGGAGCAAGCCCTAGACATGCTCAAAACTAAGGAGATGTATAACGAAGCCCAAGTAGATGAACCTATTATAGTTGAGACACCTGAAAGTACAATACCGACTGTTTATGAAAAACAGGAGGTAAATGAAAAGAAAATTGACTGGTTTGATGTTAACGATGAAGGCGCAGCCAGCATTGAGGTCCTTCAAGATCAGATGCAAGATCTTGAAATAGGGCTAGACTCAAATCTAAATCCAGATGCCCCGTCCTTTGTCCATGGTGACTTGAATGATAACCAACCTGAGGAGTTCCCATTGATTGACTATTCGGGTCCTGAAAATGAGAACGAAACTATTGAAGATGACAGCCCAACCGTCACAGATGTAGACAAACAAAATCAGTCTAAATACTTTTACTTTTATCAAGGTAATTAACCAACTTCTTTTTGTTACATTAAAATGTAATTATGTGGTTGTAACTGATGACTATTTGATTGTTAACCAAATAGAAAACTATAACAAGTTTTAACATAGCAACAATGATGACTTCTGAATAAATAACTTGACTTTTACTTCACAGCTGAAGATGGACAGCAAGTGTTCCTGAACAGTTTGAACGTGCGTATTCTGAACGCTTCATGGGGAGCGCTGGCTGCAGCGCCCCCTATAATCCGCGGCAGAGTGCTGCATCGTGAAACATTACCACTTACTGCACAGGTAAATGATAACTACATAAAAGCTACATAATATTTTATTTAAAATGTACTAAATATAAGATAAATGTTCTAAAAATATATGTACTTGTTTTTAGACTCGAAAACACATGCCGTATACATCTCACTTGCCTCTAAATTGTTCATTCGACATAGTTGAAATGGACCTTCAACCACCCTATGTGACAACTACAGCACTGAAGTGTTTTGCAGGTATGTTATTCGTAATTTCAAACATCACAATCATCAGCTATTATTTTGTTCTCTTACTATTCTCAAAAGGTTTGCTTTGAAATTAAAATAGAAATGATTACATAATGAAATTATGTTTATTTTGAGAATTATTAGCCAAGCAAGAGTTAATCTGGAAGATTATATTTTGCTAGTTGTTATTTGTGATTCTGTAGAAATCTGTAGTGTATACTGAAGGCTGAACCTTCAGTTAACACTATAGATTTGGATAGTTTTCAAAGCAACCCAACCACCCCTATTTATTTACTAGTCCCGTATTTCCTATTGCAGAAGAGTTAGAACGTCGCGCCCGGAACCGCGCGCGTCACGAGCGCGATGAAAAGCGTCGGGAGAGGGCATTACGCCGGGCCATGGAGGGCCCGCCGAGGCCAGACTTCTCCTCCGAGCTGATGTTCCCTCCCGCGGCCCTCGGCAGCCCGGACCCGCCTATATCCACGTCTCTGGAGGCCAGTCCGTCCACCAGCACTGTATCGCCGCCGAGTTCCGGACCTTCGTTTGCTAAGGTAATTATACCTAATGATAAGAGCATAGGGGTCTTTTTAGTGTGTACGCCTCGGTCTTGTGACTGCTCCGAGCTGATGTTCCCTCCCGCGGCCTTCGGCAGCCCGGACCCGCCTATATCCACGTCTCTGGAGGCCAGTCCGTCCACCAGCGCTGTATCGCCGCCGACTTCCGGACCTTCGTTTGATAAGGTGATTGTTATGCCAGAAAAGGACTACATGACGGAGCATCGGGGTCTTTTTAGTGTGTACGCCTCGTTCTTCTGACTTCTCAGAGCTGATATTCCCTCGGCAGCCCGGACCCTCCTATATCCACGTCTCTGGAGGCCAGTCCGTCCACCAGCGCTGTATCGCCGCCGAGTTCGGGACCTTCGTTTGCTAAGGTAATTATACCTAATGATAAGAGCATAGGGGTCTTGGAGTACGCCTCGTTCTTCTGACTTCTCCGAGCTGATATTCCCTCGGCAGCCCGGACCCTCCTGTATCCACGTCTCTGGAGGCCAGTCCGTCCACCAGCGCAATATCGCCGCCGACTTCTGGACCTTCGTTTGCTAAGGTAATTATACCTAATGATAAGAGCATAGGAGTCTTTTAGTGTGTACGCCTCGGTTTTCTGACTGCTCCGAGCTGATGTTCCCTTCCGCGGCCCTCGGCAGCCCGGACCCGCCTATATCCACGTCTCTGGAGGCCAGTCCGTCCACCAGCGCTGTATCGCCGCCGAGTTCGGGACCTTCGTTTGCTAAGGTGATTGTTATACCAGAAAAGGACTACATGACGGTCTTTTTAGTTTGTACGCCTCGTTCTTCTGACTGCTCCGAGCTGATGTTCCCTCCCGCGGCCTTCAGCAGCCCGGACCCGCCTATATCCATGTCTCTGGAGGCCAGTCCGTCCACCAGCGCTGTATCACCGCCGACTTCTGGACCTTCGTTTGCTAAGGTGATTGTTATACCAGAAAAGGGCTACATGACGGAGCATCGGGGTCTTTTTAGTGAGTACGCCTCGGTCTTCTGACTTCTCCGAGCTGATATTCCCTCGGCAGCCCGGACCCTCCTATATCCACGTCTCTGGAGGCCAGTCCGTCCACCAGCGCTGTATCGCCGCCGACTTCCGGACCTTCGTTTGCTAAGGTAATATTTCCTAAAGTTAAAGAGCATAGGAGTCTTTTAGTGTGTACGCCTCGGTTTTCTGGCTGCTCCGAGCTGATGTTCCCTCCCGCGGCCCTCGGCAGCCCGGACCCGCCTATATCCACGTCTCTGGAGGCCAGTCCGTCCACCAGCGCTGTATCACCGCCGACTTCTGGACCTTCGTTTGCTAAGGTGATTGATATAGCAGAAAAGGACATTTTCCTGCTGTCTACAGGGTGTTAGGTAAATGGGTATAATTATGAGCCGACACTAGCCCATGTTAAAATGGTCATGTAATGATATGGTGAAGTCAGAAAATTGATATCTTCATTTTAATTATTTTAATTTTCATACAAATCGGATATTATAAAATTTATTTTGTATGAAAATTAAAAAAATTAAATTGAAGACCAAAAAAAATCTTTCTAATTTTACCTACACTCCTCACCCCACGCTGGCCAGACGGGATGGTCTATCCCGTCCCGCCTATCCCGGATGGGGTCTGATGATGGAATATTTCGCCTCTTACGACATTCACGGGGTGGTCCCATTTTTGTTTTTTCTTTGCGTAATCTAAAATTGGTCTGTTATAAATCCAGATGGCGAGTGCGAGCGGCACGTGGCGCATTCGCAAGGCAGTGGAGCCGCCGCCGCCGCCGCCGTCCGACTCGCCGCCGGCGCCGCGCGCGCTCTGCCTCAGCGACGCCATCGAGGCCGCTCTCCACGCCGCCCCCGCCGCCGCCGAACCCAAAGGCAAGAAGAAAAAGAACAAACAGAAGCTCCTTTTCGCTACTGGCATGCAGCAGCAACACTGGGCCGGAGCCCGTGAATAATTTTGTTTTTTTAAATCGACATCTTCACTCAATGATCTAGATGTTGTGGCCAGCGAACTTTTGTAGAACTAAAGCCGACCATAATCATGATTTCTCAACCCCAAAAATCCGCTGGCAACAATGTTTCGCTCTTTACTTTACATACTCGCTCTCGATAGCAATATTTCGTTTGTCGTTTCGTCTTCTGTCCCTCATTTTATTCGGAAAAAGATATAGTTATACACATCGCGACATGGCTCTGAATAAATAAATTGAGGCAGGATATAAATGGAGTCAGTTTTACACTTTGATTTTAAATAATAAACCAACATTAACTAGTTTTAATTTCCTGACTCGAATCAAATATTTGTTAGAATCATCCTTTCATCATCTGGTTAGTTTCAGTCAGCGATATATTTCGAATCATGTCGACGGGATTTATGTAACCATAATTTTGTCTTTTATCCTTGTAACCTTGTATCTTAAAATGCCGTTACACTTAAGTTTATTACACACTTATCACAATGCTTGCGGCACACGGCATCGCAACATTGTTCTGGCACTATTGCAGACATTTTCATTGAGGATTGTGGACATATTTATCATATTGTATCATATCATATTAATTATGCTCGAATACAAGTTGCGCGCCATGTACCGCAACTTTTGTGAAGTGTGTACAATACTGGACTTTATTGGTATTTTGAATGTATGTCATGGAATCCATCCAAAGTCGTAGAGTGAACATGAAATATGAACAACTATTCATAAGTTAAGGAACGACTGATTAGCCTCGCATACTGTGCTTTTGTAACCATTACACGCGGGCAAGATGGAAGATTTTGCTGTCTTTGTGTTATGATTTTTTATAAATCAGATGGATGTATAATGCTAACTTGCCTCTGAACCTTCCACTTCCCTGGAAATAAAATTACACTGTAACACAAAATTTGATAGCAGAATCCAAATAATTTGACACTGTAAAAGCAATTAAAATAAATCCCTGCTTGCCTCTTGAACTATAAGAAGGTACTAAAAATATTACATGTAGGTATATTTTACTACCAATGCCACCATCATTAAAATTATGCAATAAATACTTTATTTTATGTATGTATAGACTATTTTAATAACATAACTCATTGTGTGTTTGATTAATTACGTTATTCAATTGTAAAATGTAAAAAATGACAAAGTAAAATGTTTTAAAAAGGGCTTAAAGGAAGCTAATTAATTAAAGTATTCATGATAACAATGTTTGTTTTACCAATGTCTGTGACTGTGTACGAAATAGCTTTGCAGAACATGTAAAAATGTATTGGTAATAAAACTTGTCATGAACATTGTTGTTTTATTATTGAAATGTGAACCCTGGGACTTTTAACTTGGGCACTCCATGGCACGGTCCATGGTCAAGGCAAGTGTTTTAATAAGGTTCTCCAGCAGCTGAGCTAATGTGATTTTATTATTTTATACAACTTAAAAGAACCGAGACTTTTCATTTACTTATCTCATTGCCTTAGATTACTTAGATCCACTTCACTGTAGTGTAGATCGGTCTTGAACAGTTATTGGACATATTATTATAACATTGCGTCCAATAACCAATATCTACTCTATAAACACGAACTAAGGCAAGGGGAATTAAGGGGTGGTTTATTCCCGTTGTCCCCACCAGTTAAAAATTAAAATTTATTGCCTAGGCCAACTATAAGTCGGTAGTCTGCGCCTAGGCTTATTCCCCACCTGCCGGAGCAGTGGGGACAGGGGGAATAAAAAGAAAGAAACCGGTGGGGACAATGGGAATAAAACGAAGGCTACTATAATACCACCTAGANTCTGTTCAGGTGTCAGGTGGGGATTCTTGGATGGATCAAACTTGGAGTGCAAGTGTGGTTTTGTTCCCCAGTCGACGAAGAACATGATGTCGTGCCCTGCGTGCCCAAACAACTGCAAGCAGGAAGATTTAATGAAGGCTACTGACAACGCCACTATTGTGGCGGAGTTTTGTGCTGACGCTGTGTAGGTTTGTTGTCGACACGACAAGAAGAAGAATAAAAAAAATATTTTATAGGTACAAGCAAGTTTTTATTCTGAAATGCAGTTGTACTAAAACGAAAAAAATAATGCAAAGTTCAAATAATTTCGAAAGCTTGTAGCGCAAACCGAAAAAAAGAGGAATAAATTCCATGCGCGATAATAAAATAAAACGCTTTTTTTCAAATACTTCCATCTTTTTGAAAAAAACTACGTTTTATTTAAATTAAATTGATGGTTTAAAAAAATTACCCAATATTCGAAAAATCCGGATAATCCGGATTTGTACGTAACACAAATCCGGAAAACCGGATTTAAGAAAAATCCGGATTTTGCAATCTCTAATACCACCGTATTACTTTTCTCTATGAATACCACCACAGACTAATAGTTCCTATAAATAGTTGTACACCATGTAGAGGGTTAAATATGTGAGCTCGACTCGTATAGCTCAAAATTCATTCAAAAATACAACTTCCAAAGCCACGATAATTTTAAAAACAATAGCCACTGACAGCAAAAAAAAATACCTCCTTGTCTTTGGTTGGTTCGTGAAAAGTGCGTGAAGTAATTTTTTTGTGGAAATTTGGTGTGTATTTCTATGAAAAAATATTATAATGTAGAGTTAAATTTAAGAAGTACTTTATCTGAATATTTTGTTGTGTTTCTTTACAGATATCGGTGTAAACAAATTACACCAATGGCGACTATATCATTCGCTAAAAGTTTGGTTAACCCAGGTAAAGATGCATTAATTGCTACAATTACAGAGATTTCTATACAATAATTACGTAAAGCTTACAGTAATGAACTAATGCAAAGTATTCATAGTATTGTCTACACAGTACCTATCAGTTTTCGTAATAAAAACGGGCATTTGGTTATTTGCTATTGGTATTATGTAAAAGCCCATTGATTTAGTTAAAACCTAAGCAAGGTTTACTATCAATAACATTCCCTGCTAATCCTGGGTTTTTTCTATGAGCTCCACATTACAAGTTGATACAACAAGTTTCTTGACAGAAAATCTTATTGAGGTTATCTTTATTGATTAGACTGAATTTGCTGATATTGAAGGTTACAAGAGAAGGAAGTACTTTACAATAAGTTCATAACTGCAAATTAAAATCTCCACTTTAGTCTGTATTTAACAAAGAAATAGTGAATTCAATGTGACATGATACATACATTTTTGTTATTTATTTTTTAGCCTTGAATTTGGTGTTGAAGCAAAGCCATTGCTCACATTTGAGATGCTCAGCACTCCCGACCGTGACCCCTTTGAGTATTTCGTTGAGAAGGAACTATGCAGAGAAACAAGTATTTGAACGGACAAAACCTCATTGCAATGTTGGCACCATTGGCCATGTAGATCATGGCAAAACTACACTGACCGCAGCCATCACCAAAGGTAAAGTTTCTAGAAAGTATGTAACATAGAACACATAATAACAGTGTTGTATATGTTGCAGTCAAAACTCATAATCGGTCAATTTTAAATATCACCATATTTTTATAAAACTATTGGCTTTTTGAATTACAGTATTAGCAGATCTCAACCTAGCTCAGAAGAAGGGCTATTCGGACATTGATAACGCTCCTGAAGAGAAGGCCCGTGGTATTACTATCAATGTTGCCCACGTTGAGTATCAAACTGAGGATAGGCATTATGGACACACAGACTGCCCAGGACATGCTGACTACATCAAGGTAATCAAGATAATTGTATCAAAATAGTGTTGTTACGTTGCAGATTACCTAATGAAACAACTTTTTTTCAGGACTTACTTTTCCTGAAGTAGCCAAACAATATTTTTCTAGATCTAAATATTTTATTGTGCTTGCTATTTACAATCCTATTAGTAATAAATGAATTAATAATGGTCTATTTCTCTTTATGTAACCACCACCATTGTACACTCTCTTTCCAGAACATGATCACTGGTACCGCCCAAATGGATGGTGCAATCCTCGTTGTTGCCGCCACTGATGGTGTCATGCCACAAACAAGGGAGCACTTGATCCTTGCCAAGCAGATTGGCATCCAACATGTTGTGGTGTTCATCAACAAAGTTGATGCAGCTGATGAGGAGATGGTAGAGCTTGTCGAAATGGAAATCAGAGAGCTTATGAGTGAAATGGGTTATGATGGAGACAAAATTCCTGTTATCAAAGGTAAAAATTAAATTATCATTTTTTCTAATTCTGCAAATTGTATAAAGATTCTGCTCCTTCTCCATCAGAGAAGGGGATTTTAGTCAAAGACTGCCTTTGATTACTTACTGATCATATAAAATTTTACAGGTTCTGCTTTATGTGCCTTGGAGGGCAAGAGCCCTGAAATCGGCGCAGAGGCCATCACCAAACTATTAAAAGAAGTGGACACATTCATCCCAACACCCGTTCGAGAGTTGGACAAGCCTTTCCTCATGCCTGTCGAGTCTGTTCACTCCATCCCTGGACGAGGCACTGTCATTACTGGACGTCTACACAGAGGTAAATAGAGATTATATAGAGCTAATCACATATTTTTGTCTGTTTTATTGAGGGGCTAATGATATTTTAACATTACACAGGTGTCTTGAAAAAGGGAACTGAATGTGAAATTATTGGACATGGCAAAATAATGAAAACAACAGTTACTGGAGTTGAGATGTTCCACAAAACTCTTGAAGAGGCACAGGCTGGAGATCAGTTGGGTGCCCTGGTCAGAGCTGTCAAGAGAGAACAGATCAAGCGTGGTATGGTCATGGCCAAACCTGGAACAGTGAAGGCGCATGACAATATCGAAGCTGCTGTGTACATTCTGAGCAAAGAAGAGGGAGGGCGATCCAAACCATTCACCTCATTCATCCAGCTACAGATGTTCTCTATGACTTGGGATTGCGCGTCTCAAGTAACTATTCCTGACAAGGAGATGGTTATGCCAGGCGAAGATACGACGTGAGTATTTTGTCACTTTCTTACATTACTATCTCTCATTTTACTAATATTTATAACATAATCAGTTCATTCATTAATTTCGACAGTTTCAACGTTCAAATCAGTAATCATAATCTATTATTACAGATTACAGTTGAGATTAGTGAAACCAATGGTGTGTGAAACAGGACAGCGCTTCACTTTGCGTTTGGGAGACATGACTCTGGGCACTGGAGTAGTTACTAAAATCAACAAAAATCTGTCTGAAGATGAAAGGATGAAACTAATGGAAGGCAAGAAGGCGCGAGAGAAGGCCGCGGCTAAGAAGTAAATATTATAAATTATTTAGATTAGAATAGTGGTTCCCTTATAATTGTATGCATTTAAAATTAAAATAAACAATATAAAAACTACATTCCTTTTTATTTATTCAAATCCCATTTAATTCTTAAAACTATTGATATGTGAAATGAATGAAGGTTGGGAGATTGGTTATACCTACCGCCAGGCCAGATCTATTTTTCTCATACCCCTAGGTGAAAAGGGGGTGTTTCACGCGTAGGTACGAAGTCGCGGGTTATCTTATCTTATTTAGGGCCGCGCATGGGCGCAGTGCACGTCGACCCATTGGGATCTTTTGTGCTTCCCTATACCTTTATCCCCCCTCATCCGCAAAGATCCTATCCATATAGTGAATCAAGTGCTTGGGTGAGGATGGATAAGCCGACCCATTCTAGTTCTAGCTAGCGCGTCGCATTCATGGACTCCGCATGTTCTCCACATGCTCGACAGCTGTCGCGGGTTAGATAGATGTACTCTGGCCCCGGCCAAAGATTTTATTTCGACAACCACTCAACTTGCGCTATCGTATCGTAACCTATCCCTTCGCTCTCGCAGCCACAATCAATGAGGATCAGTACTGTTGTAGAAAATTCAATAAAACTAGTATCTCCGTTAATCTTTAAGACATAAGAAAGATATATATCTTTTTGAATTATCCAAATCGGACCATTACTTACGAAGATATTAAGTAATAAACATAGGCCGTTTTTGCCGCTAAAAGTCAACGTGCGCAAGGCCGCGTGACGTCATTATATCCGAATCGAGCGCAGCCGGCGTACTAATGGGATGGAAAATATTTTTTTCCGGCTAAACTATCAGTTTTAGAAAAAAACTTTTAATAACATTTATTCTTCAAAATAAAGTAACCTATCGACCAGTAATTTTTAAAAATAAAAATTGTGAAAAATAAGTATTGCTATGTCCAAAAACCACATTTTCATAGGATTCGATGCAATGCGGAGACGCGGTTGGGGTGAGTGTAACTTAATGATTGTTTGTATTGAACATAATAATACATAATATGATGCTAATACCCAGTTTCTGGCCTGGGGGGGGGGATAAGTCATACCCAGCTTATAGCCTAGGGGGAAAATAAATTAATACTTATACATTTTTATATTTTACTTGGAAGAAGATATGACTCTAACAACACTTATGTACACTTTATTTGAATAAATCGCCAAATATACCACCGCGGAGACCCCAATCGCGTCTCTGCGTGCCATTGAATCGTATGAGCGTATGGATTTTTTGCGTTATTTTTCGCAATTTCCATTTTTAAAAATTACCTATGGATAGCTTACTTTATTCTGATGAATAAATGTCATTACAAGTTTTTCTCTAAAACTGATAATTTGGCTAGAAAAAAATATTTTCTATCCACGCAGTACGCCGGCAGCGTTCGGATCGGATATAATGACGTCATCGTCCCCGCGCCGGGCGGTCAGTGAACTTTTTTAGTAATTTGGCCATAACTTCGTCAATTTTTGTCGTAGAACAAAAATTTTTGCACTGTGTATTAAGGATTTCTTAGCCCTATAAATCTGCATTCACAGCTAAAAATCGAAATGATCCTCATTGCTGCGTTTACACTGCGCGGAAATTAGCCAAGTCAAAAAAACAGAGGAGTTGGGATGAAATTCATTCATAATTCATCCCCACTCCACTGTTTTTTGACTAACAGAGGAGTGGGGATGAAATTCATTCATAATTCATCCCCACTCCACTGTTTTTTTGACTTGACTTGGCTAATTTCCGCGCAGTGTAAACGCAGTAATTAACATGGAATTTTGTCTGTCACAGGCAAACCTTTAACGCGCGCGTCTGTTTCATCCGGATAAAAACTATCCTGTCCTTTCCCGGGACTCGAACTATCTCTATGCAAAATTTCATCAAAATCTGTTCAGTGGTTTAGGCGTGAAAGCAAGACCAAGACAGACAGAGTTACTTTCGCATTTATAGGTAAAATTTGTATAGTAGATGAGATCCCAGTCTCTACCCGTTGAATATTTTTTTTTCAAGAATGGTAAATAATTTAAATGAATTGTGTAGTGGTTCAGAACGGACTACTATTCCGAGAGGTCCCGGGTTTGATTCCCAGTCGGGCAGAAATTGAAATGATGAATTTTAATTTCTGTGACGGGTTTGGGTGTTTTCTATGTATAATAAAATGTAATTACAAAAAAAAAAGTATTTAAGTATGTTTGTTTATATCTGTTGTCTAATATAGTACAAGCTTTGCTTAGTTTGGGACTAGCGGTGCAGTGTAAAATGTCCAAGGATATTTTTATAGAAAGAAAGTATAAATAAATAAGAGATATTTCAGGTTTCCATCACAATTTATTTAGAAAAAAAAGCTGGATGATAAAACAAGGAATTGATAAACAAAATCAAAATACAGTTTTAGTACATAACAATGGAATAAGTTTCACTGGCGTTATTATGTCATTCATAACTTGAAATTACTACAATAGTAAACTGCTTATATCTCAGATCTTGCTGACATTATTACATTAAGAATAAAGCAAACATTTTACAAATTTTACAATATCAATTGTTCCAGAAAGAAATGTTACATGCGCAACATATAAAATAATAAAAATGGATTAGTCAATACACAAATTTCAACAATTGAACCTAACTTTCAAATATCTGGAACCTAATGGAATGAAAGAACAAATGACACAGTGTGTACATACACAACTTCGGCTTGTTTTCCATTGAGATCAGATCAAATATTAACATAAAAATGTAAGACTATTGTCTGTGATGCTATCGATCTAATTTCATTGGAAAACTTACAACTTTTAAATAGTAAGAGGGCATTAGGAATTTATTAATAATCTATATTTACAAGTCTTCATCCTCTTCTGGTAGAGCAGTATCTTGGGCTTCCTTGAGATCTTTCTCGATTTGGTTCTGCCATTGAGGGTCCATGGTGACTTCTGGGGGGACCAAGGCGGGCATAGCAACAAATTCCAAGTTGCCATCACCAATTAACTTTCTAGCTAACCAAAGGAAGGGCTTCTCGAAGTTGTAGTTTGACTTGGCAGAAATGTCATAATACTGCAACAAAACATTATGGTTTAGTCAGATAATCACAGTTATCCACTAGCTTGCCTACATAAATAAATACGTTTCACAGGCGTCACTCAAAACTGATTACAGTTTATAACAACAAGTCTCTTTCACAAAAATGTGCAATTATCATTAGTCATGTCATACAGATAGTTTATGCAGGGAATATCAAACCAAGTTAAGGTTAAGTTAAGTTAACCAGGGAATATCACACAAAATGAAGGAAAAATGTAAATAAATAATTTCCCTCCAACATTGGCCACTCTTGGACAAGTTAGGTTAGGTTTATGTAGAATAAAACTCACCTGAAGATTCTTTTTCCTGTGGAAAACGATTGTTTTCGCTTTGACTTTTCTGTCCTTGATGTCAACTTTGTTACCACACAGCACAATGGGAATACCTTCACAGACGCGCACCAAGTCTCTGTGCCAGTTTGGTACATTTTTGTAGGTAACTCGGGAGGTTACGTCGAACATGATGATGGCGCATTGACCTTGGATATAATAACCATCTCGAAGACCACCGAATTTTTCTTGACCGGCCGTATCCCAAACGTTAAATCTGATCGGTCCTCGATTTGTATGGAAAACTAGCGGATGTACTTCAACACCCAATGTGGCGACATATCTTTTCTCGAACTCTCCAGTCAAGTGCCGTTTCACAAATGTAGTTTTGCCAGTACCACCGTCGCCTACCAGCACGCATTTGAATGTGGGCATATCATCAGTCATTTTGAATTATATCTGTTTGCTTTATACCTGAAAACAAACCAAAAAAAGTTATGAACAATAGAAACCAGTGATTGCATCTATGACTAATTTATACATTTATTTATGTCCGTTACTTTGTTTATAGTTTGATCCCTGTTTTAGAAATTTCAACAGGGATTTGGCTTGCAAATTTATGATAGTTGAAGTTGTAGGAAACTGACACAAGTTAAATTTGTTTTAAGTTTTCACCGAATGGCGCTCAGAAAAGCTCACAGGAATTTAGCTCAGGGATACCGAACACTAACGCGAATTCCAGCTGAATTACACTCGGGACCACTTAAATATTACAACAGACGTGAGGCACAATATGTAGAGAATTATAGCACTTGATATAAAAACGTTAATTACCAAGATTGGCTAAGAAAAACGAGATTATACTCGATGCACTTAAAAGTCGTTACGGCTCACAATGGCGTCACTTGACTAAACGGAAGAATACTATGACAGCTACAGGCGCAGTGACTTTGGTAGTCAGTACAAGTACTATTGAAATAAGTTATTTTTATTTAAAACCACAAATACAAGAAATCAAATTATTTGTAAATTAAGTAAAATTAATAATCTAGGGTTTTCATTAAATAATTTGATACGAAGAATACTGTTATTACTTAATTAAATAAAATAGTTTTTGTTTTGAAAGTGCTGCTTTACCGACACTATTTTGACGTCATTTTCTGCCATAACCGTCGGCAACGCCATCTACAACTCTTTGAAAACTGACACAAATGAGACGGCTAGCAAGTTTAGTTTCGTTCGTTTCGTGTGTATCGATTTTTTGAGTGAAGTGAACGTAGTGTTCGTGTCCTTTAGTTTAGTGACGTTTGATAGAAAAATATCTGTGAATGGGATTGTGTAATAAGATAAAACGTTTATTTGGTGTGTGATATTCTATAAAGGATGACGAAGGACAGGTTAGCGGCGCTCCAGGCGGTGAGTTGACTTTCGTTTCTTCTCAGCATTGCTCTAACCAAAGGTCTCGTTGGTGACCTCGAATTCGATGGATAGCATTGAGTTCATGTTCAGTAATCGGGAAACTTTTTGCCAATAAGACTTTCCCCCAGTCAAAATCTAATGTAGAATCGTGTAAGAAGTTTGTTTCCTGTAATTTCTTGAAATCTGATCGCCCCACCCCTGGCTTGACACCACTTGAATGATAGCTGTCATTGGAGCGAGACAATTTGTTGCGTTTCGTCCGCCGATTTACGAAACAATCGCCTTATCAA